ATTTGTTTACTCGGCATTGTTGTGTTGGTATACCAACAATGCCGAGTAAACAAATAACGTGTCATTGTTTGACGACAAACAATTACGTCACCTGTTTACTCGGCATTGTTGTTGGTATACCAATACAACAATGGCGAGTAAACAAATAACAGACGACGTAAAGAACTGAAACATCAGACCTATTTAACAACAAAACACGTAGAAAAACTTATTCAACAAAAACAAAAGAGAGAGAAAAAACACGCTGAAAAACGAAGTAATAAATATCAACAGAAACCGATAGAAATTATCGAGAAAGAGCGACAAGGACTCTAGAGAAAGTGCCCCGAAAGGAGCGCATTGCTCTAGTTAATTTAAATTTCTGCAAATCATTTTACCACTGTGCTCTGGAGTAACAACTTGAAAATTTTACCAAATAATTGACCATTCATAAAACAGATGACTGCTAGTTCACACTTGGCACGTAAATGCTAGAGTCATAAACTTGATAAATCCATAAGAATTCACGTAAATTAACACACATTAAATCAAAAGCTCTTTTCAAAGCAGAATGCAAAATATAGGACTTAGGACAAGCACCAATAGAAATAAAGAAAATAATGTAAATAAGCAAGCACCCAGTCACTGAAACAATGTCTTTATTTACAAATCATGTCTAGAATTACAATATAAAACCTTAAGATGATGTGTGATCCAATGGATTTGATGACAGGTTGATAACAAATGTAGTCTTTCTTCAATGGAAAGCAGCGGAAACTAGAGTCAGTATATAATTTTACAATGAAATTAAATTACTCAGTCTGACATGAAATCAATGTGCAGATTGTCTTGTTTTCTGAAAACACACAGAGAATATGTCACGGCATTCAACAGCGAGGTTCCAAAAACAAATATTATACCCAGACTAAAACACTGCAAATCAGGAAGGAATATGTGGCCTATAATTGGCATGTTGATAAAATCATGAAGTCTCTCTGGCACGTAAAAAATAGTACATTCAGGTAAAGAGTCTACTACATAATCCTTAGCTAGAAATAGGAGTGCGGTATACCACGGAATATGTCCGAAATATTATGATCAAGTTCAAAGACAGGATTCTGACAATGTCGCAGATCCAGAGGACAGCAATGTTTTTAGCTTCACAAGATTTTGACACAAAGTACGAGACCGCTTCTACAGTCCCATAACCTACGTTCAAAAATCAAGTGTCAACTTCTAGAACATACTGTCCTGTGTATATTTGGAACCATTTTTAAACAACAGCCACACGACGCGCCACAGTTCTAACGCTTCCTGTCCTCCTCACGAGTTCTATTTTATCCACAGGCATTCACTGAACGTTTACCAAAAACATGTCTGAGCATTAACGTGAAAACAGCGAAGTTAGGTCAGTTGCAAGAGAACAAACATCAGACTGTACGATCTTCAATTTATTTGTACAGGAAATAAATATGGTTAATGCGCGCTATTTATAGAATCCAAACACTCTCCTACTCATCTCCGTTGGCTATCGTGTTATCAAAATCATCGGTGATTTCATGACTTTGATCTTTATCACCCTCTGACGAGACTGTTACTTCAACAGCCAGGTCATCCATTTGTGGCATATGGACAAGTCCGTTATCATCAGCTTGTGATAATATGTTACAGATTATTGGTGACTCCACACCCAAAATGTATTCACAAGTTTTTGGTTCTAGAAGATACAGTGCTACGGATCCAGGACTAGAACTGCTCTCCAAACATTTTAGTTTCACCTGAAACAAGAAAACAGTCAAATACAGAGCAACAACAGAAGACATGTTAATCCCAAACTTGTTATAAGCCATGCGCAAAAATTGTGCGAAAACAATCACGTGAAATCAGGATGTATCTTATGCTCCAGGAGTACCGAGCCAATGTTATGCGCAAAAATTGTGCGAAAACAATCATGTGAAATCAGGAGTACCGAGCCAATGTAAATAGCTCAAAGCATTACCTTGACAACTTTTATATTCATTTGCTACCTCAAGAACACTGCAAAAGCCTCCGTTATTTAAAACGACATTAAGAAAAATGTCTATCAAGAGCGACAATTATTCTCCAAGATATTTTTTATATCTATTTAGCACAACTATAAACAACCTCAGTCTGTCGTGGACGTCCTGTCTTGTCACATGGTGTGCCACCTGAATAGAGGTGAATGATCTGCTTGCGGTGAGCCAGAGGCTTGGGACGCTTATGAGGGTTCCTTTCCAGCCATTCTAAATGTTTTTCTTTGTCAAACGTTCCCAGATGGATTAGTGTTTTTGATCCATCTTTCTCCACATGATATTGATCCACAGTGATTCCATAGCAGAACTGGTATTTCCACCATCCTGTGCCCTGAAATAAGTTTGTGCATATAACAAACAGATACCATCTTCATACTTGCTGCGTGAGAACACCAAAACCGCATACTATCATTACTGAAAACATAGACCGAGCACTAACCCCAGTCAGACAATTTTTTCCGGACAAGAAGCTAAGTACTGGTGACATATCTGATATTGGTACGCTCTCAGATTCTGCTGCATCAACTGGTGGAGCAAGACGCAAGTCGTCATTTTCCACAGCCGTTACCTCAACTGGATGAATCTCAACACGTACTCTTGTTTCGGCACCCTGTGAAATATATATAATTTTCTGGTCAACAACAGTACGGAAATGAGAAAAAATACATACATCATTGTAAAAATAAACATTAAATTTTCTTCAGTAACAAGGGATTTACTCCACTTAATGGTACCTGCACCTTGTCATGGTGGCGGGGCTTGGGTACCTCAGTGACCCCAAGAGCTATGTTGGCGGTAGCATAGCTACTGGTAGGGCCTCCATAGCCAGATTGGTCGAGGGGGAGAGGTCAGACTAAGACAGGTACCCTGGTCCTCCAGGTTGGGGCTAACAACCTTGCACCGTAAAAAGGATGACGTTTCGAAACCTCAATCAAAGCCACGGACAGACGGACCTAACAGAGGTCCGAATGGAAGAGGAGAATTGAGGAGGCCATGGACAGAAGAGAGCCATAGAAGAAGAAGAAGGGATTTAAACAGGGATACTAGACAGACTTCAGGATAATTGTTTAGCAGTATGCTAGTGCTATACATGGCTACCTGTATCATGCATACACAGGGACGCACAAATAACAAACATTAACCACTGCAATTATCCTGCCCAGCACGTGACCTACTTGGTCAATTACAAGTATTACAATGCAGATGAACCTTCCCTTGAAAATTCTTCTCATTTTGAATGCACATAGTCATACATTTCCAAACCAAAATACATAAATTATAGTGAACGTAGTTCTGGAAATCATATACATCAAAGACTGAACTGATGTCATCAGAGACACATGAGACAATGTCAAGCCAGAAACCCCTGAACATAGAACAGCTAATCTGTACTTTAACATCTGTTACTTAAAGAAATACCAATCCCAATGGAAGGATATCACTTACTGATAGAATAAATAAGCATTATAAATTCTGCCTTTAAAACATATGAAGATTTTTGGAATCTTTATAATATTTGTTAACCTATTTTAAAAATAAGTTATTACGGTTCAGAAAAATACAGACTTCAGGTCTCATACAGATTATCATAAAAGTTTTTCATGAGCACCACCAACATATATATATCTCATTTGACAGTCAAGAAAGCAATAGCAAATGTAGAAGCATCAACTTTCAGGGGAAGGGGAAAACAAAGACAATCCCCTTTTAAAATTATATCATAACCAACCTGGCCTTCTCCATCCCTGTCTATGGAAAAAACAGCATAAACCTTCTGCAACTTTTCATCCTGTTAAAAATATAATCCATTAATAGTAATGCAGCAAACTATAAATGTCTACAAAAAGAAAACAAACATGCCAAACCAAGGCAGTGGTACTGTTCATAACAAAGTTAAACTACTACAGTATATAGAAATAAATAAAGTAAATTAAATATATGCAATTAAAACAAATCATGTAAGCATAATCGAATGTCAACAGAAACCCGTTACTTCACAGATACCATCACTGCGAGAAGTAAGTAGCATAAGAAGCCAGGCAGTTCGCCAAGGACAGCGATGGACAGTACGCAGAAGTTCAGTCATCTAAGGAACTATTTACTCCATGCAAAAACAAGTATACTGTCTATTTTTAATAAATTTTTATAGGGCATGCAAAACTTTAATAAAACGTAATTAAAAATTAATTTTCTTTGGCAAATATACACATTCGATATATCATGACAAGGAAAATAATACATCATTTTCAGAGTGAAATGATTTTAATTGTATTTCTGGTTTGATATATTACTTCCCTTCTCAATTATAACTTTATGTTGTTTTTAATTACAAAATATGTGAAATCTATACATATAAAAGGATATAGTTTATAATAGATTATGCGTGTGTTAAGTGTTCCCAGAAGCCTACGTTCTCAATAATGATGCTAGATGACATAATGTCCTATTTTATAAGTAATGCTATCATGAGATAGCATTTAGAAATATTTCTAACGTGGGTAGTAAGAACGAAAGAACACGGCTGGAACAAAAATAAAGAAGAGAGTGGGTGAGGAATGAAAATATAAGTCATTTTCTCTTTGAATTCAATGGGCATTTTCTACCAGTATTGAAACTTTACTCTGGGCACCTTAACATCTTCACTGAAGTTATGAAACTTGAGTTTTCAAATGAATAAAATAACACTTTCCATATTTATTTGCTTAAAAATGTTAAAGCGTGACAAATAAATGGGCATTAAGCATTAGAAAGAACCACACGTCAAAGAATCTGGTATTTCCAAAAATTCCCAAAAGAGAGGGAAACAGATATTTTGCACAAATGAAACAACCGAACACCTAACACGATAAGATGGAAATTGCAATAATTTCTTTTACACCTTAGTCACTAACTACTTTATTCAGAATATAAAATATTTTATAAATATCTCTGAGCTCTGAAAACAATTATTTGGTTGTATGCACCGGGACAACAGTAAGACAGCTCTACTTAAGTGCAAAGTAAGCGGATTTTTTTTACTGAACACGAAGAAATAAATTATTTATGTCGGTCTCTCAAAATGCTGTCATGTTGGTTGACCATAATTACCAAGTGACATTTTCATATTTTGGATTATCTGATAAGCGCTTTCTCATTAGCAGAAAATCCTTGTTCGACCTATGCAGAGAAATCACCTGTTAACACCACAGACTTATTACACAGAAGTACGTACTTAGACAAATATTAGGTTCAATAAAATACAATTTCTTACTCTGAATCTGGCAAAGTATCAGAAAGTTCCAAATGAGGACAGAAGTAAATATCAAACCAACTTTGATCATAATCTCAGTTCACATTGGTGCTATCTTGAAGTACACGTAAATTAACAAAGCAACTACAAAAGGTAATACTGCTACATACTTAACTACTTTCACAAGACTTAATAAGAAAGAAAGATCACAAATGCATGTAAGAGATTCCACTTAATAAGAAAGAAAGATCACAAATGCACGTACGATATTCCATGGTTATTTGCCAACTAAAAAACTAGTAGCTTACTGTAATTTTCTGATGTCTTAGTTTCAAGCTTTCTGCTTCCATTGCAATAAGATTCTTTGGTTTATTTGGAGATCCTTCAACAGGATGGCAACTAATGACATTCTCTCCTGATTCTCGAGGTCTGTCAAAAAGAAAGAAACAAAGCTGAAAAATGTAGTCAAATAATTTAGCACAAGTTTCTAGCTTACATATAACCCACCATTTTGCCTCAATGCCATAACCAACGACAATCCCCAACCTCATTTTTTAAGCATCACAAAACTACTCATAAAGCTATACTTCGGCGTAACTATCATATACTGATGGTTCTCTATATACAGAGAGCATTATCATGTCTCCCATTCTCTCAAAAACTTTCAATTTGTTATCCAACTGAGTTAGAAAACTTTTCGCAGGCATCAAACTTTCTACTGTTCTTCTGTACATGAACTTTAAGATATGAAAGAGCTCCCGTAATGACAACAGATCTCAGTGAAGTTACTACATGTCATTGCAACTGGCGCAAAAACAAGCGGAACGTGACGCCAAAAGCACGCGAGTCATAAACTAAACCAAATGGTAAATGTTGGCATTCTGAAGTACACTATTTCAGCGCTGAAGATATACACAGTATTTTTCTCTGAAACAATGGTATCTACGTACAAATCTATATGGCATCACAACCCAGAACAACATTCATCATTTTATACACATTTCTCAGCGCTCCCATTCATGCTACATGCCCAACCAACACACATTATAATTAGAAATTACTTGTATTTTGGATGCTGGCAGAGCAGTGGTGATAGAACGATGACTTCATATTCGCAGATAGAAGTTTCTTTCAGTGACAAGATATCGTGTTTACTGTGGCTATAGCACACATAGAGAATTTTTGCGAGCCGTGGTTTGTCGTTCACGTCACACACCGTGCCATCGCTCATGTTCACCTGCACGTACGGCACACTCAACCCATCTATCTTCTTCATTGGAACTTCATCCTCTTGGGAGGCTGAAGACTTGGGCTCTCCCTTAAGATCTTTCACTTGGTGTTCCATCTGATTCAACTCTTCATCTGTCATAAGCACAGTGAGAAAAATTTGGAAACTAATGTATCCACTACACATCTATTGTACTGAAATTCATATATTGTGTCTACTTAACAACTACTGCTAAGATAATTACACAAATATTGACAGTATCGTGTTACTATTAAACGTGTACACATACAGTAATGTACTATTTTACAATATAACTGATAACAATAAAATAAATATAACACAATAAACAAAAGTCAAAATAGTTCGGTGCCCCAATGTCCTTGCGTTAGATTTTCATGTGGTATCCTGTTAATGATACCAAAGTTTCATGATTCCAAGACACTGCCAAGAGACACAGAACAGTAGGAATGAATCTTCTATATGTTCAGGATGAACGTACTATGAATCCAGCTAAGGAAGATCTATCTCAAGTAACATTTTCCTAAGTGCATCAGCGAAAGTGCTGGGACTAGCACCTTCAAGTAAACCACGATCACTTCGATCCATATCTATCTTGATACAAAAATTCTTTTTACTTACTCGTTTCATGCATTAAACTGTGTTAATTCCATGTTACTTATGTGAAGCTGTGGTTAAAACATTAGCAAACTACTGAGGACGGATAACAGTTTAGTTGATAACTATTGATAAACATTTTTTACACAACTGTTTACTCAGTATTATACCTGCAGAAGTTATTATACAAAAAAGGTATCGACTTACTGAGTTCAGTAAACAGTGTTTTGTCCCACTTTCCCAGGTAATATTCTTGCAGTTTTACCTTCTTTCCTTCACGCTCTTCATGATACTGTCTTATATATCGCCCATGGCAGAGTTCATACGTCCAGTATGATTCCAACTAGCAAAAATTAAAGAAACTATTGTAAGTTCACATTCAAGGTCACACAAACCACTGCACTCCACACGTGAAAATTAGAGTGGTGCTACATAGTGATCATTATATGCATTAAATTGTTGCAACAAAACAAAACAGCAGTGGACATAAATTATTTTACACATTACAGAACTGATAATAGTCACATAGTAAACCAGACCAGTGCTGAAGAAAGACAAAGAGACATTCTGTATGCTAAAAAGTATTAAATATCCAGCAGAGTGTGTTCTGAATACGTCCTGAAGATTTTGTGCGGATGCATATGTAAGTTCTTTATAATGCTGCTTACTTACTTTATATGAACAAGATGACTGAGTGAAGAGAGGTGCTAGAAGTTCCAGGGGATTTGGACCATTGTATGTCACAATTGAATCCTGAAAACACAGCATTTTATAAATGCTTATGAAACTATTATCTTGTGAGTATGCACGTTGGAAGTCAATTCCATTCTCCGCCATTACTTTGTATTTGCGGTTTATTTACCAACACTGCCAGTAGCGTAGACCGCGTAGCACTTAATGACAGGGCCATTAAAAATAATTAATTGGAAAGGAAGTGGAAGGAAGCAATCATGGTATAATTTTAGGCAGTGCACCAGTTTATGCCTACAGGGGCTGAGAAAAACAAACAAACTGATCAAGGTCTATGAGGAAAGGATAGAAATATTATGAAATTCTCACTTTTATTACCTAAAAGCTTATACATATCTTACCTTTTCTTTTTCTTGAAAAAGTGGCAATAAACATTTGTATACTTCATTATTTTCAGTTGCAACTAAAAGAGGTTCTGCATCTGATGCATCCTGAAATAATAAATCATCTTATGTCTTTATCATAAAAACCAACATTGAAAATATAAATTGGTAGTAAACAAATACAGTCTTGAATTAAAATACTGCTAGAACTTCCCTTTCCCCTCAAATGTTAATATCCTTAATCAAGATCGGATTTTCAATTTCCACCACACACTGCACAGCCAATGGATCTAACATCCTCAGAAATAATCTGAGCACTGCACTTGTTTTTGCAGTTTGGGAAGTCTCTCCTCCACTATTTTCCAGAAAGACAGTGACAGTAATGTTAGGTTAAGACCACTTGCTAGATTGTGCCTATGGTTTTACTACGCACACCCATTTATCGTCACAAAACATATCAATTCAACACGCTACCCCACTCTCACAACCGATATATTCTTAATCTCTTATTGAGTTTAATTATCAAACTGCACTTACAACCACTGACTTTGTATCCATCTCTCAATAATTACTTACGAATAAATCACTTCCACTTCGTCCAGGCCAATTGATTTTGAATAACACTGAATCATCAAAACCTTTAACATCAGTCCCTTGAATTAATACATTGCAATTAAATACACAGTTCGAAATCAACACAAATAGATAATGCCATCTGAAGTCATACATTACTATTCCATAAATTTCAACAAAGTTATTTTTCTAATGAAATACTAAACTGTCTGCTAAAGACAATCGAGATCCACCAATCACAAACAGCCACCCAAGCCAGACACACGTCAAAATACGGATAAGCGAGTTGCAAACCTTGAAAATACAAAAGTGAGGTCTGAGGATATCACTTCGGTGAATGTGTCGATGTTGGCTTTGTGTTGTAACGCAATGTTATATAAGTAGTTTCCAATGTTTCGAAGGAACATACGGCCTAACCCTGAAGATGGACGACCAACATCGACACAGACTTGTTTTCGATAACACCGACTAAAGAAAGCCAAAACTCTTGCAGGTCGATGGCAAAGAGTGCAAGATGCCTTCTGGGATGTTGTGCCATGTAAGTTCACGATTTCAGAGATGCTTACTGCCTCCATTATCATGACTCCAGTTTAATCACCCTGATGATGGAGGCAGTAAGCACCCCTGAAATGATAAGCTTCTACCAGTGTATATGGCTTCAACATCCCAGAAGACTGTATTCTTCTTCATATTCACCCCTGCCAGAAATGTCTTCTATGGCTCATTACACACAATATAAGCTCACAAAGAACAAATGTTGTATCCTATAAATTATATTCACTCCTTAGGTGTAATTTATTTTCTACATCACAACTCCAGTAGGAACAATTCTTTTACACAGTTTATCCATGCTAGTCATTATACTGACAGCTATCTCACCAGCTCATTTAAATATAATAGTAGCAGCTTCTTAATATTATTGACAGGAGTTGCTACCATTTGTAACCATATGGCTTGCATGTGGGAAGAAGGAAATAGGTTTGTGATTGGCAGCATGTAATCAATATTATGTTCAGAAAAACAAATCCTGATCTACTGTACTGAACACAGCCCAATGCAGAATTAAGTAAAGAAGGGATTACAGTGGATCAACATATAAATTTTTAAGGCATTTGTATCTATGAACATCTTGTGCTATGATATTCAAGCTATCAGTCTTGTCTCAGAACTTCCTAAAGGATACAATGGAGAGTTAGGATTTTTATCTGGTCCTGTCCACTCAAATGATTTTGTAAACCGTAACAAAATCGAGGCTACGTGTTTTATTGCTTAGCTTCTAATTGGTACAATAACATATACAAGAGAATGGCATTTGCGTGAACTCCCAACATAATAACTGGAAAAATCAACATGCAGATAATATAACGGGAAATAACAATATCAGATCACAATGTAATAACTGACATAAAAGTCATATTTTTCAGGAATGTATCCCCCCCACTAAGAAAAAAAGCATTACCATGCTTATCCTTAGACACACAGATTCAATCCTAAAAACAAACACACTGCCTAAGAGCAATAAAAAAAAAGGGTAATACAAAAGTAAGGGACTTAATTTTAAAATATGTAAGATCCCAAAACTTACATATTTAAAAGACTGGAAAAAACGTACATGTAAACCAATCAACATTTATATTTTTTTTCCTTTTTTCTTTTAATCACTAAATCTACTAAACCAACTTCCTTTGAGTTATTGTCACAAACTCCTCGAGACTACTTAAGTTTGGTCTATTAACAAGCAAGACGATGAGTAACATGCGCTGCGTATGATGAGTCCCCCTGCCTCCAGGGTAGACACCGTGCAGCCAAAGGAGTACAGAGAACACTGTATTATACAGAATATTGATCGTCAATAACACTGATATAAAAATCTAAACTATACATATATTGATCATTATACATAACATTTATCACATTTACAAACTCTTCATCAGAATCATCAAGTTTTATTCCAAAAATAACAAATTTTTCATCTGTTCTTCTGGATTGACACAAGATAAGTTACAGTATTTTGCACTTAAAATTAATTCATTAAATGTAAATTAATGACTTCTCCCTAGAAGTGAACACAGTATGATTATAACGGTAAAGAAGTTCATCCAAAACATAACAAGGGCACAAAGTGTTGGAATCTTGGTTGTACTGCAGATTCAAACAAACTTGACTACTTTAACAATCAATGTAAATATTTTATTTATTAATACATTTACTTTGTTATAAGTCTGTTTCAAATGTATGTACATGAGTGATAATTATCAAGTATCAGAAGAAATATTCCTTATCTATTCCATCCACAGTATTAACATATTTTCAATAAAAAGTGCCGTTTGTTACACAAAGCTCTGATAATTAATTTTCATTACAGAAAATTTCAAGTAATGTCCCAATAATGGCACCAACAGGAGAGACAGTTTCAACACAAGGTGTCACAACAGCATACATGTACTGAAAGCCTGAACTAATTTTCTGGAGAGGCAAATCGTTTGAAGCAATACAATTCTGTAAATCATTTGAGGTAAGACAGGTAATAGTCAGTTTTATAGCCAATATTCAGGTATTTATGAGTGAAACTACAGCTCACTACCTGACAATTTAAGTTCAGAATATCTTCTTCTTCAGCATCATTTCAATTTTATACAGGTTAATGGACAATAATTCTCTGGTTCTCTCTTCCTTTCCGCAATCTCTCCATTTTAATTTCTTTCCAGCTTATGTTATCACATCTGGTCTTCTGTCATCTATTTGTACTTTATAGTCTTTCATCCTACAGTGAGAATGCAGATAGGACATTTAAATGTTGTGTATTACCCATTCTACAGTTTCTTGGTGTCCCAACATGCTCATGATGGGTGTCATCACATCGCACGTGGCCAACATACTCCACGATATTCTCCGCAGGAAGGTGTTTGACATCCTGGAGTTGTTACTGTATGACTTCCATGTGTTAAGCCACCTCAAGAAGCTGTTCAGTTCAGTTAAAATGACACTTAGCAAGTTCTGTAAATCATGATTCTTATTTCATTCTAATTTTGAATGTTGTGTCCTTCACATGATTGAAAATCTCATTACATGTTATTTTCCTGCAATGTAATCTTTGTTCCACTGTTAATAACACTGAAATAATACAGGGATAAGCTGTTATGCTTTAGAAAATACCACAGAAGAGATCTGGAAGTAATGTCCCACTGAATACCTCTTTGGTACCCAGGAAAGCAGCCTTAAATACTCATTTCATAAAAGGTTAAATGGACTCCCAAAGTCATTTTGAACATAATGACGGGAAAAATTATGAACTACACTTCTGCAGATATAATCATAGTTAGTTACCACCTGACCTACCACAATCATTAAAATGATCTGCAGGGGAAAAAAAAAAGGTTCGATATCCTTCTATGAACAACCAAATATTTTCCCTAAAGCACAGCCTTCCAAGATTCCAACAAAGACAGAAATTACCCAAAGGCTTTTAATGCCATAATCATCCTACAAGGTACAAGTTATACCACTCAGGGGTAGGAGAAATAAGAAATGAAGGAAGGATAGAAAAGGCACAAGTGAACTGATGTTTAGCAACAGCATGCCAGAGGTATGTCTAAATGTTAACACACAGAAAGCTACAGTAATAAGGAGCTATGGAGGTGCAGCACTACGAACAACTTCTTTATTAGACAATTTCCATCAACAATACCACTTTCCATATTAGAAAGTTAGTACCCCCCACAGACAATATATATTTTCAATTTGAATTAAAATAACTGTTTGAAATTAATAATACAGCCACACAGCCCACACTTCAACTACAGTTGAAAGTTTTTACAAACTGTGCTATATGGTCAATACACTAATCTGTATATTGCCATCTCCTATCACATTTATATTTGTTGTGCGCAAAGAAGAAATTTGTTTCCATATTGACTTCTGTTCCTTTCTAATACTTATAATACTTCGAAGAGGGTGTAAAATATGAGACAGAATTGCTGAAGTAATGGATATTAAATGCATTTAGAAAAAACGGGCTTCACATTCATTACATCCTCTTGTCACGATTTTAAATGTCACCATCCCACTTCCTTCCAGAAGCTGAGAACTTAATAGAAAGATGTTTGTGTGAACTATGTCTGAAAACACAAGACTGAAATGAAAAGTGACACATATTCACATGCAGAATTTAAAAACTGAATTCTCAGTACACCAATATTTACAGATTCTATCTACCTATAAGCACAAATATTGGAAATAGTGTAAGAACTTTCCACATATTACATCATTACCATTTATCGCCAAAGAAAAGCTAGAAATTTAGTCGTTACTGCTCACAAACTTACATATCTCACTGCTGGTAAGGTCACTTGAGTTATATTTTGTGGCCTCACAAGTCACGTCAACAAATAATTTATGTCTTCTGGTATGCAACATTCTAGACAGTTGGGTAGACACCAGTGCTTTGGAGGAACATAATTCTCCAGCCATGAAGATGATCACCATTGACGAAGACAGTAAGCACTTCCAAAATGTCAGCAGACTACATGGCACAGTAACCCAAAAGACAGTCAGTCGCCTTCATTATCACTGCTGCGTGGACCTGAAATCTCTTCATCATATATATTTTATTAATAGTTTTTAATGGTCCAAGCAGTATATCCTGTTTAGTGAACTTTTCAATACGGGACTTAAAATTACAAAACATCAGTATTTTCTGTACACTTAAATGAATGTGGTAAAGTTATATACGCCTGTGGGTATTCTGACAGAAACCTATAAACTTACACAAATATCTTGCAGGATGGAAAATGTCTAATCTAGAAGTTTTCTATTAATAGTAGTGATCTCTAATTCTTAGTAACATTAACTACATAAAGTGTAGTTTCAGACACAAATGTTCATGAATGCAAGGAATTTTTAGCACTACAATAAGTTATAATTATGGGACTCATGAAAAAGAAATTAATGTAATAGACAGAGAGTAGAGACAACAAGGATGACAAACGGAAAATGCTGACAGGAAAGCTGATTACTTTTTCATAATACAAAGAAAAAATATAATGTTAACAGGGCTGTTCTGTTAAATTACATTATACTACTGGTTTAAATTTTCATGTGGATATTGCTTATATTCCCAGTCTACCATGATGCATTAACCTTTATCATAGGAAAGCTGTATGTACTTCCTACCAAACATGCTTCTTGATGATGGTCATATTTCATGTGCAACTGTATCATACAACAAGGAGTAAATATATTATATTAAAAAGCAAATGTTGCTAAACAATTTGGATGTTCTACACAATGTCAAAATAAATAAAAACAATTTGTGGTGTCATTCAGCACACAAAAGTATAAATGTAGTATGGAATTTTTCTTTTGTTTCATAAATTCTGATTCTGTAAATTTATTACATGTGTTGCAATAACAGTTACAGACAACCAAGTGAAAATATTGTTAGTTTGATCAAGGCTCGCAAACTTAACGTTCCGTCTGCTTTTTTATAATTATATTAATAATGATGATGATGGTGATAATGGAAGAAGTTTAGATATACACAAAAATAACTGTTATAATAAAATACATTACAATATTCTTCTTAAAATTTATGACAACTAATATTTACATCATAATAGTTATGCTTTACTAACAAAACATCATGAAGTGATTACTATAGTATACGGTTTATGTTGCACCATTTACCTACTGTTGCTCTGAAACTGAGATAATTACAATTATGATTTCACTGTCATATACACATTCTCTCTAATCCTTTGTTCATGACCAGCAATTTAATTAATTAAAAAAAATGTACAAATAAGTAAATAATTAAATTATACGCTAATTTACATGACGTTCCTAACTTAACGCATGATGTACTTTCCGAGATAATAATATATACTGTACCAAAATAACACATTACAACCTTTTCACTGTTGGTACAGGAAGGAAAACACCAATCATCAAAGAGGTAGTGAGAGAAATCACTGCGTAAGTATTAAGAGAACGAGCAATTTGTTGCTCGGTACTTCTAGTATGGAATATTTTTCCTTCCTTTCCTTCTTGGGTGTTTTCTTCCATCCTGTAACACCAGTAGTGACAAGATAAAGTTTGCTTTACAATGATCCATATGCAAGTAATAAACTGTAATGCAGTTAACATTTCTTGGACAATCAGCCATGTAAGAATGGAATTAATATCCAGTGTTTCAGAGTCTGTATCTGCCTCCATCATCAGGGACTGATGCGATGTCCGACAATACCATCCACCATACCCACATCAAGTTAGCTCTTTGAACAAAGTGTCCTTCTCCAAGAACGGATGAATGTAATAGTCATCACACAGTTCATCTTAATTAACTTGGACAGTCTGCTATGTTAGATGTCCTTAATTCTTCCAACCTTCACTGATGGTCCTATTTTGTTGGAATATATTGGTAGCTGGGTGCGATGACTGATCACCTGAGTCTGCCCCGTTTCCTATTGGCGTGCTCTCCGTCAGTCATGTTAAAAGTAAAGTAAAGCTGTCCCACTAAGCACCATGTAGGTACTTGTGGGGGAAAGGAGGTATAGCTCCTACCCATTCTTGACTTCGGCACTATATGGGGGTAAGTGGTCAGCATCACGCCCCAGCTGCGCTTTACCCACGGGAAAGTACCCCGGTACCCATTGGATAGGAGTCTGGGCGGGCCCCAGAAACGGTCTGGATGCAGAGTCTAGAGGAAAAAATCCTCTGCCCCTGTTGGGGATTGAATCCAGGTCGTCCAGTCCAGTCACCATACTGAATGAGCTACTCCGGCTCATCCGTCAGTCATGTTACTTATTATATTAACCCTTGATAATGGAAGCAAAGACATTCACAGAAACGTTGGATATTCTCACATGGCTGATCATCTGGTAAGACTTTATATATTCAATCACTGTAAAACTTCATATCTTATAAAAGAACTGTAACCTTCAGCTCCAGTAGAGAGTAATATGAGAAGACACTGCATAAAACTGCAATATTGACTTTTATGTACTTTTCAGTAATTAGAAATTCTTACTACAACAAAAAAAATACATCTATTTCCTTCAGTGTGAATCAAAGCCAACACAATCATGTTTACTACTTAAATTAAATTTGTGCTCTTTTTGTATCATTAAGTAGCTTCATGGATAATTTTAAATCTTGTAAATTCCTTAAAAGTTAATTTATTCTTTTGTGGGAGTTAAACTCTGTGACTATTTTTGAGCAAAATTAAGTCAGATGATTGCATCTACAATGAAGCACCACACAGACAGAAACACCATCATTGGCATGAAAAGAGTAAACAATAATATAAGAACAATATTATTTGTGAAACACACACATGTAAAGATATATTTACAAATAAACAAACTATGAGCAATGAACACACAATATTTATGTAACATTTTGTTCCAATTGCAAAATCAGGAGCTTTGAAACTGAAGTTGACATTCTTTCAAATAACATAACCTAACCTCAAATTTTTAATTTCAGTGGCCTTTTGATTTTATGAGTATTGCACTGCATGAGAAAAAAAGTTAATAGTACACAATGTCATCAGATTGCACACTTCCATTTATATATCATTATTAACAAGTCATAATGAGAGCATATGAAGGTTGTGAAAATACGAACAGCTCATGATCCAAAACATACCAATTCTACAATTATATATAAAAGAAAGTCCATCACCAGATCTCAATGACAAATTCTACAGGAGTGATGAACAAATCTAAAATATAGTTACTATATATATATATATATCTATCAGGAGGCAACAATATATTTTGATTAATTTCAGCCAAGTAGACTTTCAAGTTGTTGCTAGAACTGAAATTTGAGAAGACTTAACTTCGTTTTTAACTGACCAATTTATACAGCATAGTTCACCAGCTCTAAAATCACACACAAAGAATTGGTAGGTTATGAAAATGAACACCTCAAATAGGCCGATATCGTTCAAGACACAGACGCATCCCTCTTACCACTGGGTGAGGAAAACCCAGTAGAGGGATGTTTTGGAAAGTTACACTTTCTGGTATTCTAAATAGCAGTGGAGATAAACATTCTCCTCAACAAAATATCATTACTACTACTGCTAAGAGTATATACTAAAATGTAACAACAATAACATTAGCAACAAGAAACAACAACGAATTAACGATAATATGCCCATCACAATCTCTCTCAACACTTAGCCTAGTAATTCATCACATTCAAGCAGAGTACTGTCAAGGTATGTATGTAGCATCACGCAGACCTGTACAGAAATCATACAGAAGATAAATGTCGTGTGAAATGTTATGCCACGTAGTCTCATATCGAGTGACTGACATTTCGTAGGTTCTTAATGCCTCAATAATCAGGGAACTGCATCTCAGACACATTGGTCAATTTCTATGGCACGAGATAGCACAACATCCCAAAAGACAATAAATCATCTTCTTACTCACTGGTGTGAGAACCTCATCTAGAAATCATAGTTTATGATAAAACCAAGCTTCACACTGCACACAATATATCACTAAATTACAATTAAGATCAATAATTACATAAATAACAGCTTTCAGGCAGATACAGTACAATAATATTAAAATATAACTTCAGGAAATATGCTGTTAGGCTATGAAATGGCACTGAATATCTTGGCTGGCAATTTTTTTTATGGTTTTAAGTTACAGCAGGGTATTCTTTGGAACAATTTAATATATCCTGACCTTTGTATTGTATCAGTGGTGGCAAGATGAAGACAAGGAGGGACAGTGTGAGTGATTAGAAGCGTGTTCTTAGGTTGCCCTTAAAAACATGTTGCTTTAAGCATATTAGTGACAACCAAGCTAAATGTGTCAAGCGACTTTTAAATAAATACTACAACAGCTGCTTTAAAATGTACTACTAAAAAAAAAAAAACACTTCTAGACCCTGCAAATTCAGTTCCCTCCTAACAGGAAATAAGACTTTCACTGTTTATATACAAATTAAAATTGGTTATGCCAAAATGTTTTATAAATCAGTTAATTAGCAGTAAACAGTCAACTGATCAAGTATGAATGACCTAATTTATATCAAACGGATTTCTGGATTAAACCAAAAGAGATGTAGTGCATGATTTGCTACTTTCCTTTCTGATGATAAGGCAGATTTTTCACAAGCGACTTTAATGCGTCATACAATTCATAATTAACCAAGACTGAGAACGAAGAAAACAATAAAAAAATCTTCATGACCAAGATCAAATGAAGACAGAAAATTTGTCTATCAATAACTAAATACAAGTTTTAAATATATTTAACAAAATGGAATATGATTTCTGTACAGTTCACACAACTAATTCTTCCAAATAACCTGAATATCAACCACAATCTCTGGCATCATGGAAATGTCTTGCTAGCTGCATCTTGAGACCATGGGAAAGAAAAATATCGATAGACATGTGTCACAAACAACACATAGAAGACATCCAAACAACACTTTTAGTTCACACACATAAACCACACTACACTGAATCACTACTAAAGTCTCTAGTTTTCAAAGATCCAATTAAGCATGACAATAATACTGAATCTAGCTCCTAAACAGTTCACTGGCTTAGGCAAGTTTCTGCTACATTCTACAAAAAATGCATGAGAAAAGGAATTTTATTTTGATTCCCTTTTAATGCATTATGTCACTTTTGTATCATATGTAACTTGGTACTTTGAATCTTTTGGTTTTATTAAAAAAATAAGAGGAAAACATGACACAGTTTCAAATAGAAGAAACAGAGTTCGTATACAACGGGCTTGGATAAATTAACGGCCTGGGTCCAACTATAAATGTAAAAGCACAAAGGACAATATATATATTGTCACTGTGCTGAAGGTCAGTCATCATTTCTGCATTACATTTTCTATTTGCACAGAGAACCACTAAAGAAATTGCATACTTCATATATCCTCTAAAATAAGAAATGAGGTAATTAATTGTATTATCACAGATTTAAAAAAAATTAATTCATCATGTTGAGTGGTATGGTTCTCTGTAAATATGAAGTACTCTTATTACCAATATAAAATGTAATGATGTAAATTTGTTTTCAATTTTGTTAAATTCGCTTCCTCGATATACGCTATTTTGTAAATATATCTGCTACACGAACCATATGCTTGGGGAAAATAAAATACTGTGACAATTAGATAATCACAGACAGTAAACTGAAGAGCAAAAATATAACAAACAATGACTTCCGCAACATGAAACAAATCTATAACATGTTATTACTGAAAACAGCGCAGAAACAGACCTTAATGATTTTCACTGTCTTTACTTGTGCAGAGCAGAAACCATAACAAATGTATGCAAGGTGACAATGGCCATCACTCAGGTAGCTAAAACAAAAGACAGGCAGAATACATGCTGTGCTTGTAACAGCAATGTGAGGAGCAGGGCCGCCTGGAATGGACAGACAATATCACAAAGAGCAGAAATAAACAAAGAAGTGTTGGAGGGTCAGAACCAGTGCATAAGATACGTAAGGGAGGCGTGAGACGATACATATGAGCATGAATGCAAATTACTAGTCACTGTTTTTACATAGGAGTTTTTTCAGTTCTGGTGAGGCTAGGATGCGGAAATCTCTGGCTCCCAACCCTAGCATTAAGTATCTTTCCATTGCCCCCAATTGCATTCATACTGTGCCCATATAAATATAGGCACACAACCACTAATCTACTATAATAATTGATTGTCTTGTTCATTAAAAATTAAAAATACAACAAAGGATTGAATCATCAAAAAATCCAGCCCTGAAAAAATCCACTTGCTCTAGCATCACAACAATATGTTGGATGATGTACATTCACTCATACCAATACTTCAATACAATATTGCGATAAACAGCCTAGTATCTGGGAACTGTCTCTTCTCTTGTTAACAGCTGTTTCTTCACTGAGCAATAATAAATCAACAGGGAATGGTAAGAATTTCCATATCGCAATACCGGTATCAATGTTTTGAAATCTTTGGTATGATATGACAATTCATAATTACATAATATTGTTTTGGTATCCCTGACATTGATACTAAAAAAATGGTACATTAACTTATTAACCACTAATTATATTCTTATATACAGGAAGTAACAAAGGAACATTTTACATCGAAGCTTAAGCAAACGTACTGATATCGAACAGTAATAAAGTCTACTGACGTTGAAGACGCGGAAGTTCAAAACCAAGTTTCATCACATATATGCCAAACAGTACCGATCTCTGGAAACTGTGATACTCTAATACCAACAGTCTCCAAGATTACACCATTATTATGCTGGACATTGACCAGCATGCTGGTTAAATTTAATACATAAAATATTTCTGCATTTGGCTCTACTTCAACATTCAGATGATTAGTTGTCATACTGACATATTTCTTCATACATACTTTATTTTTAATACTGGTGGCAATCAAACCCAGAACCTTTTGAATACTACACTAATATTCTAACCATTACACACCTGGCTGTTATAACAATACTGAATAAAAAAACAATAAATCTGTCAGTAGGATGACAACCGATTACCCGAAGACACATATACATCCAACCACTGAAGAATCAAACACATGTCTGACAATGGAGAATGTCCAACGTAATAACAGTGTAATGAATCAACGATTGTCGCAAACGTTTAAAGAATCATCAGTCTTCATCATGTCCTATTCATACATAACAAAAATCAGCAAGAAATATTACTTCTGCATCTTCAACGCCTCATTATTAATAATACAAATGTCTAATAACATCCAAATAGTTACAGCTACCTTTCAAAATTGAATTTAAAAACAATTACATTTGTTACTATATATATCTAATGCATGATTTCATGCAACACTCAAGATTCTACAATATTACAATTCAATTTAAAAACATATAATTTAGAATACCATTGCAGGTAAATATTGGTCTGAATGACATCCCAGGACCCGAATTGAAGGATGGTTCCAGAACTCTTCCTGTTTCATTTAAGAAGTACTACTTATAACAGAATGCAATAGATCACTAACAGGTAGGGTCTGCTAAAGGAAAGATCTGGAATCTTTCATTTACAACTTAATCTCTGCTTCTTGCAACATAAGCTGCGGCTTAACTGATGAGTTATCACAATAGAAGCCATTCCACAACTGGATTAGGCATTTGTAGAAGGTTAAGTTAAAAAAAAAAAAATTACCTAAGAAAATTCATTTAAAAAAATGGGGGGGGGGGGTTGAGACATATCACATAGAATTGTATTTTCATTACCCTGATTCTGTACAGTCCAAAGTAGAAAGCTCCTCTGTTACACCCTACATACACTACACATAATGAGTACTCCTATTTATTGATTGTCCTAACATGTACAGCAGATTCTTGATATTCAGAGTCGGGTTCAGATGAGGTGTTACCTTGAGGACTCACCTTCTGGAATTGTTCCTCATCCGACAGGCTGTTTCCTGCTTCCGTCACCCATCTAATGTGACCACAGAAATTTCATTTATTTTAATATCAGCCATGAGCCCTACATATGGCCCCTAATGCCAACATCCAATCCACACAAATGCTCCACAGCCATCATCCAAACTATATGGAAGTGACGATACATGAAAATCTGAAACAACGAACAGAGCGCATATTTTTATGAGAAGAAAACATTGTCAGTGATTATAAAGACAGTATGTTCCAAAGTATGGGCCAGGTATCTTCAGAATTGAAGGAGCAGAACTAGCATCTTTGAAAACGTACCACTACTTACGAACATTCAGAGATGCCATAGACCGGACGTGTGCGTGCGTGGCATTCTTTACAGGAATTTTGCTTTAAGTCTGATCATGTCTGCCTGTAACTTGTCCCCAAATAATGTTCATTTCAAGGTACCTTTGGTTGCTGCATAATGTACTGCTCAATCTCACTGTGTGACATGTTCCGTGCTCACCGCTGCTGCCCCCCCGGTTGCTGTCGCTGGATGAGTGTGCTGGTGTTGATGCTGCAAATCTTCCAATTTTGCAACATGGTTTTCAAGCATGCGATTCAAGTCTGCGAAAGCCTGCAGTATCATTGCATAAAAATGTATTAAATGTCCACAGTGTTCCACAGAACACTCCAAACCGTCCACAATTAAATTATTTATAAAATACAACAGAATCAAGTTATGTGACATGGTATTGTATGTTACTATTTTAAACCAATTATGTTGCAAACGTATATTCTTTGATATATATGCTGGCAAGTAAACAGATACAAACTTCTACTGTGACATACCTTATGCTTTCTCTCCTCAAGACTAAGACGAACCTCCTCGTGCTGCCGTTGTAGTTCTTCACGTCTCTTCTCATATATTTTTGTCAGTCTAACACGTTCATGAACACCTTTTTCCACCATCGATGATGCCACCTCACGCTTAATTCTTATCTAAAAAACAGAAATATTAAAAAAACTTTAAGTGCATGTAACTTATACTATACATTAAATAATAACCCAAATGAAGACAGTACCAAATATGTCCATGGATACAAGAAAAGGCCAGTCTAATGCTCTTATACAAATATAATTTAAATGTTTTAAAACAGGATCTCAAGTATTATATTTGGAATTATGATAGGCTAAGTATCCTAATTCATTATGGTAAAGATGAATCTGCAGTTATATGCTTCTTCTGCATAGTTCATAACAACCAATTACAATCTGTACAGTTTATATTCAGAACAGGTTTAGAAAGTTACCACACGTTCCGTGTTAGTTCATATCTTCAGTCATAAGTCATGCATCTTAGCAGTACGTCAGACTTAACAAACACGTCCACAGTACTGAACTGAAGGTGTGTTCAACAACTTTCCAGAAAGAATTCCATGCCATTCCTTTGAAAGTAATTTTCCTTCAACCTAACAAGTTTGCTCAGGTGTTTTACTGTCACTTGAATCACTTGTGCGTGTTCTGCATTCTGAATCTGCAAGTCTGAATGCCAGAGAGTTCTACCTCCACTTTTGGGAAGAAAATTACATAGTGCAATTTTGTAACTCTGCATATAGTTCTGTACTATCTGCATTGACTTTGGTTCATATCAGAAGAAGTTCAGGAAGATCATGAACTTACCTGTAATTACAGGGGACTAAGGGGAGGAAGAAGGAAGGGCAGGGGATAGTAACAGGCAAGAATTGATAATCTTTGAAATGATAACACAGAATAAAAGAAATGGAATAGAATAACCACAGTATGACAAGATAATTTACAAAACACCTCATATTTCTTACCATTTCATCCTTGTCACGATGCACTTTGGAGAGCGCTTTTACCTCGCCCCTTCGCACTGCTTCAAGCCTCCGCATCACATCAGCTGTCTCCCGCTCCAGTAGTGCACTGAGCAGCTTCAACTGATTGCACTGAGATGTTTTCATCAATTTCTCAACCGTCTGGAATATCTAACCAAGAAAATTAACATAAACTAAAAATTCTAAAGTATAAACAACTAACTCTGACACCATAACCTCTCGGGCTTGCTAAATAACACGTAGAGACAAGAGTGTGAAGACATACTCTTAGTTATACGATTTGAAGCTTTCGTGGCAATGTAACTCAATAAAACATTCTTGGGCCATCAGTCACATCAGGTGACTCCACAGCTTCCACACTCCTGCAATACAGATCATGCTTTGAGCCAAAGAAGGCCCCTATAATAGAATAAATTTGAACAGGCCATTAATTCATATTCTCATACCGCTGCAAGTAAAACATGTAAACTACAAGTGTCGAGGTTCTGAATTGGAAACATGTAAGTGACATCAGTAAAGCATAAAATGAGCTGCATATTCTATAAAACTCACCAACGCATGATATTTCTCCCTGAGTTCTTTCTCGTGGTTGATGTAATCCTTGCAAAGGGAGAGCAAACGTTCCGACTGACTACGAGGCAGTCCTGCGGCTTTTGACGCGTCGCTTTCACATTCCTGCCATGCCAAGATCTCTGATAAAGGAAACATTTTCTGTCTCAAACGAGGTTAAGCAATATAAAAAAAAATCAATACTGCAACATAACAATCAACCTACGAATAGCGCAAGTTGTCGAGACTACAATGTCAAAAATAGCGCACAATTACGCCGGTATAATGCTCACATATTCTTGCTGGACAACCTCTTCACAAGCATAGAACCATAGAACTTCTTCTTTCTATCATTGTCGTGATGTGATGAAGTCTTGCCATGTGTCTGAACCCTACCCTTCTCTTTTTCGTGCTTCTTCTTCAAGGTTTCCAACTTCTTATCCATTTCTTGTAACTTTTCCTTCACTACTTTGTTTTCCATAAATTTTTCCAATGGCTCTGCCACTAGATCCTCACTCACTGGAAGAAATCACGTCCATCGTTAGCAATGAATCAAACGAACATTTACTTACAATGCAAAATGCAAGCGGGTTGGTGTGAAATTCCTGTTCGATACAATTTCAATCTACTTGTTGAAAATAACTATTTTTCAACCAACTGACATAAAAATTATTGAAAATTATGAGATATTTTGGAAAAAAAAAAAGGTAAGTAAATATCATTATCAGGTAATAATGTCACGTGGCTTTAATATATAACACCAGTCTGTTCACAGGAACAGTCTGATTCTACTTATCATTATATTAGATAGGCCTCTGATGAAGTAACTTTTTTCTTTTACTGTATAAATTTAGTAATTTTTAACTCTCTTCACATGAAGCTATTTGGTTCCAAAGTTATTTGTCATCTAGATCTTTCTTAGTCTGCATTTTAGGAGCATCTTTTCCATTTACCATGTTGTAAGAAGGGCTACTAAATTCCATTTTTGGACCTCTTTTGATCAACATCCATTCCAACTTATGTTTATTTGAAGATTCTAAAAAGTATATCGAGCCACAACGTCCTTTGAAGGCTGTAAATTCCTGTGAGCTGTTGACATAATTTAGTGTGGAAAAACTATATGGAGCTTAACATTAATAGGGCTTCTTATTCTTTTATTTTATCAATTTCTTCATTTGACAATCTCATATTTTTATACATCTCTTTAATTCAGTCAAGGCTTGAAAATGTGTCACATGGGATATCTCACATTACCATTTTCTAATGAGTTTTAAAATATTTAAAAAAAATGTATGCTACTTCAGTCTGAACTTACACGTTGGTAAAAGGATGGCGTCATTAGATTTGGAAGGAGCCTTAACAGGGGCCGGTGGACCCTGTGGGCTTGTTGGTTGCTCATTCTGTGTCGCAGGTTCCGAAGGTACGACAACAGAGCCTGTCTCTGGCTCTGAAATATTCTCAACAATTGGGCTCTCCAAACCCCCTACTATGGAAGGTCTTGGAGATGGAATGGGACGCACCATTTCTGATGCTGGAAGTTTGCCAGGAGGTTCCTGATATACAAAAAATATCACAGATACTAATACGAAATTAGTAACTTAAAATTATAATTCAATCTGTTGTATTTAAATAACTTCAAAATTAGCAAACTATGTTTCAGTATAGTAAAAATTGATTTTTACTTTTCATTCAAAAGCAGCTTTGTTATGACGCTGGTACAGTATCTGGCTGTCCTTATAAATGCTTCACCTGTTTCTCCATAACTGAATGCTTAATTGTACAGAGATCCTCAGAAGAAGTACCACATCTGTTGTCATGACAGAACCAACAAAATTACATAAAACAGGAACTCAGTCAAAATCTCTCCAAATGAATTGTACATACTTATCCTTACCTCAATAACATCAAGGTCATCTGTCAGTACTGCCAACTGTTGAGCCCTTTTCTCAAGCTCCGACTGATACTTGATAGGATTGGCAAGGGCTTCTGCAAAATCCGACAGCCCATCGGGAACATAGTCCTTCACAACAATTAAGAGGAACAGCGTAGCTAATGGAAGAGGTTGTCCAGACTCTGTCCTAAGCATTACATGCCGATAACCTGGGCAGAGGCCGACTACTGGCAGAACTCGATGACCAATGAAGCGACCCGAATCTTCATATGCTGTCAACCTGATACTAGCAAGTTCTGGTAACACAACCTGAAAAGAACAATTAAAATTAGTAATGCCCCACAGTTTGTGTCAAGAGCGTTATATTTAGTTCAACATAAGGTTTAAAGAATTTAAGTTGCACATTAATACTTAAGCAATATCAGGCGAAGGTGTTGCTTCCTTTAAAAAATTAAACAAAATAAAAAAGACTAAAATGACTAGACTATGAAATTTCTCCCGATCACTGTATATACTGAATAAAGAACAAAACTTCAACATAAGCTTTCATACCTTCTTGAACACAAATGGCTCTTCATCATATGTAGGGTTGATGCCATTAGCAGGTACAATGCGCGTGCGAAACTTCTTACGGACAGTATCTGCCGGTAAACCGTACATATCCACCTCAACGTAAGTTCCTACACGTTTGTCAGTGAGAAACTGACCAGAAATAACAGTCACTTGCACTGTCCCTGCGATAATACCATCAACAGTAGACTCAGCAAATGGATCCAAACGTCGGTCCCGCCGACGCATAAATTCTGGTTTCAGCAGATACCCACACTGATGATTGTACTCAAACATACCTAAGTTTAGCTGCATTGCAAGGTCTGTAATAATAAGACACAAGGCATAGGGTACAGTCAGAACTAACAAAGGTCTGTAATAATAAGACACAAGGCACAGGCTACAGTCTGAACTAACGATAAGACAAATGGAAAGACAATGCCAAACATTTTACCGCCAATGGACTTCCTGAATCCCATTGATCTTAATCACTGCTAGTAAACACAAAAAATATTGGTCTCGTCTCTGGTGGAAGACATCCTCGATATTAGTCACATAATTTTCAAATTTTGGACACAGTCTAAGTTCAAAACTTACAAATTTCAAGGCCAAATATATTCTGAAATATTAAAACAGTTAGCATGCTGATTTAAATGTGACACACATCCATAATAAGATAATCAAGAGATCAATAAGATGTGTGTAGTATACGTACTGCTATACGCTAGGCACTGATCATGTACCCAGAATGGCTGTGGATTAACATTTGACAATAGGGATAGGAGGGCCTATCTCACTTTATGGCAGATTAAGTCCCTCCTTGTAACAAACGACAATGAACTCCTTAATTGAATATCAAAACGAACACAATTAACCTTGTAAAAACAAACAGCACACTTACCCAGAGTCTGATAGTTCAGTGCAACCAACTGACAACCAGCATTCCAAAACACTTGGGGCATGAAGTTACTCGAGTCAAAACGTGTACCAGCAGGATACACTCTACTCAGCTGGTGTTTATTGTAATTGACAAATTCAATAGGCCGCTCCTTTAATAACGTTGTCGCCTGCCTTTCATCAAAAGATGACATTTCATAACAACGATTTTTCTCTGAAAAAGTGATTTAACATCAGAAGAGTCAAATAACATCCATAAAATGTTCATCAGATAAACAACCTCATACTTGAAGAACTGTTATGATAACCACAAGAATTTGTTTCTAGCAATTATATGCTTAATAATTTACAGCAAACTCCCAATGCTATTAATAAAAGAATATTAGACATACAAGGCACCTTCAAATGTCTACAGACACTAGTTAGGAGATGCCAAATGAAAGTGTGTACTCACTTTCAGAATTTTCAAAAGATGAAAAATGAACAGGTTGTACGTAATTTACAAGTGCCGATATCTCAGCCCCTGCCTCAGATTCCTTGGCAGCTGAAACTTTGTCTGATGAAGGTTTCTCCTGAAGCCGTAGTTTGATCTCACCAGGACCATCCTCTTCAACTTCTTCGGCGCTACTGCTTTCTTCTTCATCATCTGTAATCATGTTTGAACAACAAAATCACCAGGACCATCCTCTTCAACTTCTTCAGCGCTACTGCTTTCTTCATCATCATCTGTAATGATGTTTGAACAACAAAACATATTTCAGCTGAAAGTTACATACACATAAAACATATCCAAAATACTATTCATGAACTGGGTCATGAATTTTCTGCTATATACCCACCATTCTCATCTTCTTCATGAGCGCTCTCCTTGCTACTCTGACGAACTTGGAGGGCAGGGTGGTGAGGGATGTCGCCATTTCCATGTTCTACTTCGGCAGCTCCCACTGCAGACCCAATAATATCCTGCTGTAGTGATGACTGTGAATTACTTTGACTGGTGTCCGTGTGATGATGATGGTGGTGGTGATGTTTTTTCTTATTTTTTATTATGATTTTCCCTTTCAAGAGCGAAGGTGGCGGAAGAAGTGTTCCTGGTTCCAGCTGAAAAAACAAAAATCACCTTAAACTACAGGATGGTGTTTGCTAGGGCAGATTAACTAAACTCAATAAGCATGTAATGAAAATGGATATGCTTTGGGATGATACAGACTGAAAAACTTTCAAACACGGTCCTCCATCATTAAGACACTTACAAATACGTATCCTTAAACTCAGGCATCAATTAATAAACAAACAGTGAATGAATTATGGATAAGTCGATACATTAATAACACTTACTTTGTGTGAATCTATTGGAGAATCCAACAATTTTTCTCCAAAAATTTCTCGACAATATTGCGCTATCTTAGCTTGTTGCCGAGGGTTGCAATGATTTTCAAAAGAAAGGATCACTGGGTAATCTGAAGTCTTGAACGCAGAATCTGCAATAGCTTCGATCACTTCCTGCAAAAGGTAACACCAACATACAGCCAAACTCTTATCATAACTAGCCGATGGTCAGTCAAATCACTGGTAGATTGCTTTTGTTGTGCAGGCTATTTACTATAAATTATTCCAAAATCCACAAACACTACGTAACTACATGTGCCTACTTTTTCTCATACAAAATATACTTGCTGAAAAATAAATAAACAGAATGCCACAGTGAAATTTCCTGTTACCTTAGCAGAAATATCAGGTACCAATGTATAACCGTGAACAATGACTGGTTCTTCAGTCCGCCCATTCCAGAAGTCCAATTCTACACAGCGACAGCCCGCAAGAAGACACTGCCTGTACATTTCTACTGATGATTTACCTGTGAGTTGGTGGCCTGGAATACAATTTGAAATTGCAAAGAGAGGAGGATATTTTTGCACAAAAAATGGCAGTACTTTGAGTTTATGTTCAACAATTTTAATGCAATCTATTTTATATTTTGAAGAACAGGTGCCAGTACTAATGTACTGGTGCATACTGCCACGGAAGGCACCTGGAAGTTATCAGCAGTATGTAACACTAAATATTCCCGGAACATTTCATACGTTGTTCACTGTATGAAGTCTACACAATACACAGACTGAAATAAAACATTTCTGACTGGCCCCACTTTGGAAACAACCAATATTAGTATAATTAGATCACTATTCTATAACTTTTATAATCATCAATGTTTCATCACATTAAATATTAACAGTGATACTTACCTATCTCTCCCTGAAATGTTTCAAATCATTCTCATTTATAACCAACACACTGCTCACTTTGTATATGTGTATATAATTCTCTTTATTATATGCTAATTTATATTCATCCTCTGCAAACTACAACAAATTTTTATATCTTCTACAATATCATACTTTTCTATGAAAATCAACATTGAATCCCGTTTATACACCCACCATTTTCTGTATTCGAAAGTCAATATCAGTCATTTGTTTATTCATAAACATACTGTTCCTCTTACAATTCTCTATGTACATGATCAGTCATTTGTTTATTCATAAACATATTGTTCCTCTTACAATTCTGTATGTACATTCTTTTTATACAGATTAATATTTCATAGATTATTATGTCTTTGCCAGTATCATATAAACAGGATATATACAATTATCAAACACACGCACATGCAAAAATCCCTGTTAGCAGGTTGTTACATAAAGTATCTAACAACAAATATCAAATAACATATGATGATAATGATTATGTATAAGAAACTGTAAAAGATAGCCAAGAATTGGGACAGATACAAAATATAATTCAGATGCTTACCAGTCAGATATGTGTTGTGCGAAGAATTTATGAAATAGTGTGGTAATGGCTGGTCCATATCATCTGAGAGGTCAAGTTCTGAAGGTGAAACAATGGGATTGTCTTCACTCATAAGATACCTCAGAAAGCCATCAAAACTGAACTGACCTAAACAGAAAAACATCTCCTAATGTAGCACAGACAACAAACCCTATAAACCCAGCACGATGGACACAATGAACACGTAGCTGGCAGCAATCGCACATCAGACAGAACTGAGTTCTACTTCTACACTACAAAATACAACATGGCACATAAATATTATGTAAGTAACAATGATGACGGCCCCTTGAGACCAAAAAGGAATCTGCTCAACAACTGACACATAATAATAAAGGATGCTGGACACACACAAATAATTGTATCATTTAAGTTATAAACCACGTGGTATGAAAGGAAACAAATTTTGTGATCAATACATAAACAGCAAGAATCATTTCAAGTGGTTCAACAAAACATTTCTGTTTCTTCTGCAGACAAAGAAACTAGACTAACCAGTGGGTTCTGCCACTACACCAACAGTTTCTTTCTTAGACGATGATAACATAAGGACAGAACAAATATGTGAAGCTGTACCTCGCTGCGCATTGTACTTGTTAGGTTCATACTGCTGAACAAGATCTTTGGCCCTTGATGTATTGGCATATGGATACAAAATTTCATTCAGTCGGGGATCTCGCTGTGTTTTGTTCAGAAATTCTACGAACTGAGCTGCTGTCATTAACCTCCGTTTGGAAGTTCCACCACACCTGCAAAAAAAAAAAAGGTTTTGAAGGTTCCTTGTGTCCAGTCCAAGCTAGTTCAAGGCTGTAGTGGAGTGGCTTCAAAGACCACCACAGGCCATACACGGTGGCTTCCAAAAATATTTTTAACTGTATGGACATTAGCGAAAGTGTGCATCTGATGACAGTATTTCTATATTACTCATCTGTTTTACTACGATAATCACTATATACAAAGATACTTTTAGGTTTTTATTTAATTAAATCTTTTTAGAATTGCTCGTTTCATGAATACAGTGTTGTTTTTGATACATGAAATAACAACAGTCTTAATTAAATACAGTATTTAGGCGTATTTAGCAGGAGGTCTACTGAAATTTACTGGCTTCAAGACATTTTGTAGGTCTACATTTAAATACGCCTAATCATATGAAAGTATTTATTTTAAAAATAAAATCAATATAAAAGTAGTGAGATTTGAGGTTCTCACGGGGGCGAAATTAGAGATGGCTGTCTTATGGGTTACTGCGTCTAAACGTCTGGTAGATGTTTATGGACGTTTCAGAGGTACTTGCTGTTTCCATTATCAGGAGCATGGTAAAGAGTATCATCTGGTGATGATGGAGGCACTAACCTAACCCAGAAGACAGAAAACTATCTTCGAATAGGCCAGTATCTTACTGTAATAACTAATAATTTTCAAACCGAATTTAACCAGACACGCTTACATAAATATTTTAAGAACTTTGTTAAGTTTATGTTATACTCACAGATTCGTGTGCCTGTCATGTTGATAATAGTTTATGTACAGATTGTAGAAAACTGGATAATTCGAACTTGGGATTACCCCCGAATAACCTAACTTTTATACCAGTTTCTGTAAAAATCGGTCAATTTGTCGAAAATCACAAAGGGAACACACAGAGACAATGTCGAGTTCTTATGAGCACAGACTTAAATTTTTTCCCCCAGGACGTAGATTACGATAAATATAAGAGTTTGTCCTGTATTTTCCCAGGATATGTAAACACTTTCCTGCGAAGTCTCATTTTTATACAACAATAAAATATAAATACTGAACAAGTTTTCGAAAAAAATGACGTTGAGTCTGTGTTCAGTCTTTATAGTGATCTCAGCAACAGACTAAATAGCAGATTAATTATCCTACTCTGTTTCTGGTCCATTTCTGTTCATAGTTTCCACTAGTAGACACGCCCACTTATCATTTGTCACAAAGAGATTTGCATCATCATCAGGACTGGAGTTATTATTCGCCCAGTTGCCAGTAAATTTGGTCTATGTTCATACCGAGTTTTATATAATTCTGTCTACTCGCTCAGAAATCTTTCGGGATAAGAGATGAACACAGACGTATGAAAATAATGTAAGCCAGAGTTTCAGTAGTTCATAATTGTTATAAAACACGTGGGTGATGAAGCCTCCTTCATTGGTAATGATTCAACGGTAAATATAAAACAAAGATCTGTGAAATGGATTTTAGTTTTACAGACTTATTATGATTCCGTTAAATACATTCGAGTGCCGTAGAGCTGAATCGTGTGATTTTATTTCTTTCGGTTTACAGTACCGGAGAATTAACCCTTTAAAGTCTGATGATATAATATACCAGCTACTTTAACATTCAATAACATCGTATTTTGTGGGTTTCGTATTATTCTCAGTGTACACAGTGATTATTTACCTTAACGCGAATCAGGTGATCTTTGTTTTATTTATTTTTTATTTAGTGTTCTGTCTGACGACAGATCCATATGAACAGGATCCTTTCCTCCTTTTCTCGGACTGGGACCTGTTCATATACGTTCTTGGCAGATGATCCAGAAGTGGTTTGCCATTGCCTTCTTCTGTGTGTGAATGGAGTAATTGTTGGGATGCCACGGAGAAACCAGGGAAGCTCCGGAGGAAAACTCCGTGTTGCCTAACCACGGCCTTGCCCAACACAAGTTATAAATTCGGGCACCGCCGGGAATCGAACCCGAGACCCCAAGATTACAAGGCCAGCGTTCTAACCGCTAGACCACCGTGTCTGCATTGCATCCTGAATTTTTATATGTAATTACCTTCAATAGAAACAGCAGTACTAGGAATGAAAATCGTACAAAATATGTTTTTATGAAACTATCGGTATTCCACAGTATCTGAATCCATGACCGTACCCACCTAAATACAGACCAATCAATACACATCGTACCTCCATACACTCCAACATTCCTTATGTCATCAGAATCACAGGACAGAATTTATGCCTTGCTTGCATGCAGTTGTATTACCATTACAAGAAGTAATACTGCATTTAGGTCAAGAAGAATGAGATGGGCAGGGCATGTGGTGTGCATGAATGGGGCAAGAGGTGTGCACCAGGTATTGGTAGAGATGCCTGAGGGAAGAGACCACTGGGGAGACCTAGACATAGATGGGAGGATAATATCAAGTGGGATCTATGGGAGATAGGAGTTGAAGGCAATTGGATTTTGTTGGCCCAGGTCAGTGACCAGTGGAGGGCTTTGGTTATTTCGGTGATAAGCCTTTGGGTTCGCTAAGCCATCTAGTTAGTTCAGTTAATACTGCATTTAGTCATGTAAGAGTTAAAATAACATGTATGCCTTTAAGCCAGTTAGGAAACTCAAAAGTCCAGTTTAAAGTCATTCCACAATGTTGTTTCATAATCATTTTACAGCTCATGAAACTCACTGGGAAAATTCCTTTACTATTTCATAACAGCTACTTTTCCAATTATTACATGCATGTTAACCACAAATTACAAGTTCATCAAATCTTAATAAAAGCACTTGATGAATAATATAAAATCACTGTAAATATTAAAAGTTAAATGTTTCCTACAAAGATTAAAATAAGAATGTGTACATATACATGTAATTCTGTTACGTAATACATTAGAATCTCAAATGCATTTGCAGTGATGAAGTTCATACAAAGGAAAATAAAAATGGTGTCTGCTGACAACATGCAGTCTTCATCATCTCTGTTCTCTCCGCCTGCATATTTTTACCCAGCATCAATGTGACTCATCGCAAAGGCTAAATGTCCATTCTCTTTAGCAGACAGTATGACGCACAGTCATTCTTAAGCACATCACAGATCCTGTGTAGCATTTCATATCAAGACAAGTCTTTACTCTGAGTAAGCCAATTGCTCCAACCCTCTAAAGGACCACCCTTTGTTGGCCACAGCCACTCTGCAGTCAGACATACCTAAACAATTCCCATTACCAAATAAAATAAGATCAATTTGATTGTGTGTATCAATGAAAGTACAAGCGTGTTTACATGTAACACAATGAAGCATTGTTGTTCAAAGTCTAAATATAATAATCTCAACTCAGCAATATGCATGTGTTTATTTTCTCAAATAACACGCGATCACCACTCTTTTGAAAATACCAGGTCAGTAATATGACAAGGAATGTATATGTGCTTTCAGTTCAGTACACATAAAAGGATCAAAGAAATTCTGGGAGCAGTAGCTATTCACTGTATGCGCGTTTCTACACACAAAACGAACACCCAGTGAAAAAATTACATACCTTGTTTTGATCAACCCAATAGAGATAAAAACCATTTTTGTCAACTCGCAGAGTAACAGGTGTCCCAGATCCTGTATCCTGTAACAAGCAACAGCGAACCAAAAGTTTCAAATTGAAAAATTGTGAAACATAAAACTGTCATGAAATACAGATTCAAACATTAACAGAGTTGGGTTAAATTGTTCTTTTGGTCTTTGTCTGCCAACCAGGTTTTTTAAAACCACAATGTGCTAGAAGTTCGTTCTACTTCTGTCATCAGATGAAAAAAGGATAAAAAACCCTCATCAAGCTCGTCGTAACATTACTGACAGAATTTCATAAATTAATCACCAAATTCCAAATGCTCTTCAATTGAACTATTAAAAGTCTTTTATCATAATTGAGACTGTGTCATGACTGCCAGGTTCCTTTATTATTCTGTTTCAAAGTTTTCCAAGCATGAATTATGCATAAGTTCTGCAATTATTCACTGTCAAGGGAAACAACTATCATACCACCTGAATGGAGACATTCACATGTGGTAACTATACATCTGATAATAAAGCAGTAACCTGCCCCTTATCATGCATTGTAATATACCTGACTGCATGAATTGTGTGTAAGAACAGAAGCTGACTGTCAAAATAAATCAAGGAAACTTTATTACACACTGGGAATCGTCTTGAGCCATAAATGCTCCACCGAAGCTCCACAAAGAAGCAATGATATCGTAAACCAACTAACTGTAAAGTCACTAATACACTAGTATAAGGTATAGAAAGACATATGTAAGTGTTGAAGCTAGCAAGATAGAAGCAAATTACAAGTGTAACAACCAAGGTCACTACAAAGTGAAAGAGATGATGGCCTTGGTTTCTGACTTCACAGCTTTGAATCCTGTCCAAAGTACAAATGAGATATTTGTCATTGGCTTTCCTGACTATTATATTAAACAAGGGCTTGAAATATTAGGCAGGCCAAAACTTGAAATAACAGAAAAAGTTGTTTATAACATTAACCCGAAGGACCTGGTCTTTTTTCTGCTTAGTAAAAGGAACTTGTCAGTAGATGAAAAGAAAACTGCAGACTAAACCTTTACAGCCTACAGTAAGACAAATTCATGTTGTTACATCATTAACGTTCGTGAGCAGTACAAATTTCTAGTTTCTTTCTCTGTCTATTACAACCAAGTATTTTGTACATATCTGGCATCAATCGAGATTCTTTTGTCATTTGTGACAGGAACAGTCCTTCTCAGGTAAATTCAATGATAGCATGACCGAAAACAATAAATATCACATTCAAGGAGACTGGTTTGCATTAATTATTATTTTTTCCCATGATGAAAGTCTCTGCTTATTAGAAGAAATTTCAGATTTCTTTTCATTCAATACTCTGGGGACCTAAGAAACTTCTTGATAAAGAGAGGTTTTTAATATGGCCAGACAGGCAGTACAACCTGTATTTTTGATTCTCAAGAAAGTCAGAAAACTTTTCTTCATTAGCATTTTCGGACTAGCTCATGGGCTTCCCCAATCTCTGACCTGACTGGCACCAGGAGGGCCAAACAGCTGGACAGAGACATGTATCACTCACCACCATATAACTACCAAGACATCAAATGAGTGGAATTCTACAACCACACTCCCTATATACTTTCAGATTTTGCAATGCTGTGTATTCATTCAGAATCTGAAAGTTTCAGTATACTCAAAGAACAGTAAATGTGTTTACAATGTTGTTGCTTAAAATTATGCTGTGGGTCTATGGTAACAATTACTTGTGTTTACAATGTTGTTGCTTAAAATTCTGCTGTGGGTCTATGATAACAATTACACATAAAGCAGCATTTTATGTATTAGCAAATAAAACTCAAATTCAAACCTTGCTACAGTCAAACTTATCAATCTCTCAATGAAGCAGGATATTCTTTGAAAGGTCGACTGTTCCTCAGTTTGTCATTTTCTTCATGGAAACTGAGGGTTCATCACCACGTTCATAAAAGCCCACCACCAGACTCTATCCTGAGCTAGCTGCATCCAGTTTGCTTCATTGATTCCCACCTCCATTATACTTATCACAGTCACTGTTAAAGTTCAAATGATTGGCAGCACCATGCGTACCTCATATTACTTTGAAATATATGTAATATATGTCAGAATTTGTTTAAAACCTTTCCATGTTGCTGATGAGTGACTGTATTTGGAGTAAGAAATTACTTGCAAGATAAAGTGTACTGAATTTCTCAAATAGTTCTCTACAACAGCTTCTTTTCCAACACCTGCCACTATTCTAATGATTTTCTATCAGATGTCAAACACTTTTTGGTTGTCTGTTGAATTTCACCCTTAGAGAATATTTTGAATTGCCCCATTCCAGCTGATGTATAATAAACAAACCAGTCACAAGCCTTCAGAGAATTTTTTACCTTACCTCATCCCATTTGATGAACTTCTCCCCATCCTGCATACACTTGGGTACCTCCACAGGCTTCAACTGTACCACATGAGCGGTATTCTTTGTGCCAGCCATGCTTACGCCAAGCACACACTGGGTTAAGGTGTGGATTTATTGCCACATTATAACAAGCACTTCACTTTTATTACTTTTCTTCTTCAAACCAAATCATAAATAAAGTTCGTAGCATAGGGGTATCCTGCAAAACCAAGCTAGACAGCGGTCAGCACACAGGCCTACGTTATTAGTTCATCTTGGACGACACTACGATCAGACAACTCGTACTGCAACATAACTGAACAGGGCATCTACATTAAGTGAAACAAATATAATAAACTGGCTATTTATGGGCTGAAACCCCTAATTCAAACGTCAAAGAAGAATGACACTCACTTCTAAATATTTAGAAAAACATCTGCCCTTCCACCAATCACCGTGAACGGAAGCAGTGTAGACGATTCCAGTTCACATCCGGCAACCATTGATGTACGATAAGCTAAAAGAAAGAATAAAATATTGCAAAACTAACCTTCTGCTAACTTTGTTCTCTTCAAGAGCACGAAATAAAATATAGTAATCAGTGTGAGGTAACATTTCTTGCAAGATGCTTTTATAAACGTTCATTAGTGTCAAATAGAGCAATTTTCAATCATGACATTCATGCCATCTAAAACGCGGCAAATTTGAAATGTCTTTCTCCCTGGAAGATGGACACAACCCCAATTTTCCCCCTTGAAGAAGTCTAATTTTGAGTCACTGCGGCCGTACCTAATTATATTCTGAACTCAAATTATTTTCTTTCTAATGCATGTTCCAAATAGTGGTCATCATTCCTTACAAATTCAAAGTTTCAGGCACATCATGAAAGTTTCAATACCATTGCCAGAGTACTGACAGTTAAATTACTTGCAGACTATGTACATTTACACCCAACAAGAATAAGAAATTAAAAGTGCAATCTCTTAATAAGTTATTGAAACAATTTGTGGTACCTACTTACCCTCAAATTTTTAAAATTGCATATTTATGCTATATCCATAATTCTCTAAACTTCACCACCAACAAAATAAGAAAAAAAAAGTACATTTACAATCTAGCACCAAATTCCAAATACTCAGAATGTTGTGTGACACAGCAGTTACAAGAAGGATATGGATAGGCGTATTGGTTAGGTTGAGTTTAATGATATAAAGATACCAAAAAACCTCAATGGTAAAATTAAGAATACAGTACAGATAATTTTATAAAATTCAAAAAATGCACATAAGAACACTGTACTGCTTTGTAGGTAAAACATATAGCTATATATATAGTATGTACACAAAGTAAGACATTTTGAAACATAATGTATTCACAACAAACAATATGGTAAGAAGTCACTGATTCTGATCTCAACACTACAAAATTACATTATGTGCTAATTAAAAAGAGAGCAGTTTCAAAATGAGTATTAAAAACATTTGTACATTTGCAGTATACTGCACTTAAATGCATAATCATCCAATTTTCTTATTCATTTACATACATGATGTTATGAAAATTGGTCAGATTTAGAGCCATCAATTGCACTAAAAATTATGACGTGAACAGAGATACAATGCAAGAAAGACTCTGATTTGAACTGTCTGTAGCATCAAAATCCGCACAAACAGTACATCTACTATAAAAATTTGTGATTTGTCGTCTTCAAAAAATGACGTCATCAACACTGTCACCTTATATTTGTTTACCTGGCATTGTTGTGGAACACAACAATGCCGTTTTAACCCCCATTCGGGGGGGGGGAGTTTAGTTTGTTACTCAAGGGTTAAAACACTTGAATGAAACACTAAAGGGGGTTAGTTTAGTGTCTTACTGAAGATTTTAAAACACAATCAAACCCCCCCCCCCCCCCCCCGAAAATAAATGCACAGATATAACAGCTACTTTAACGTTCTTGACGAATTCATACGTACAAATTCAAAGCGAGAGAGAAAATAACCCAGGAGTGAACAGAATGTCTCCCACATAATTATCCGTCAGGCTGCCTGTTAAAGGACGTGATGCAGCTACTAACCAGTGAAATGTAAATGGCTACTGATATAACTGTTATTGTCAGTTACCAGTTCCTGTTATTTAAATAAGAGCAGGAAACTAGTTACTGGTAATTCAGCTGCCGACTTCAGCTACTGTTCAGTGAAACGTGATCGGGATCTCCACTAACAGCGATATGGCAGTTATCAGTTCCACTAATTCAAACAGTTGCTGCAAATAACTAGTTATTGGAAAGTGCAGCTACTAACCAGTTAAATGTAAATTGCTACTGATATAACTGTTAATGTCAGTT